GTACTCTCAACTGCATATGGTTGGGTCCTTCGCCAGGCTAATTTTTTAGACCTCCTATAGATTTGGGGCCGGAGTAGACGGGGTCGGAGGGTCGCGCCGCATCACCGATGCATCGGCGACGCGGCTCGATGTGGAGCCCGATTTTCTCCATGACGACGTCGCCGATGCATCGCCGGTGCATCGCCCATGCATCGCCGATGTATCGGCGATGCCCCCGACCCAATCTACTCCGAACCGATCTAGGAGGCCTCCATGGTTCCGGCCAGCAGGGAGGGTGGGCAGGTTTGAGGTTCTGCGTTCGAGGAGACCATGGAAAACGAGTCCGCGGCGAAAAGTTGCACCAGATGGACTCAAGGAGGGGTCCTGGAAGAGCTTTCGAGCGGATTTGACCCCTATGCCCCCCTCCTGACCGTTTTTCTGGGGCCCCAACGAGTTCAGACCCTCGGGCCGCCTCCAAGGTGGAGGAGAAAGGCGAGGGGGATGGGCAAGCTGGGTGCGCTCGCGCCACATCTCTGCCATCCCTTCCCACTGCGCTGGCTAGTTGTCCTCTCACCCAGATGGGTGTCGCGTCTGACCTTCCTGCCATGCATGGGGGAGGGAGGGGGAAGGAGGCGGAGCAGGAGGAGGAGGAGGAGGAGGAGGAGGAGGAATAGAGGCCGCGATCGGATCCCTCAGGCCATCAGGAAACAGGGAACAGGAGGAGGAGGACGACGACGACGAGGGGGATGGGTGAGGCGTGAGGGGTGAGGCGCGGCTGCCCTGCCGGCGCCGCTGCGCTGGGGGCCGTGGAGGGAGCCGCACCCGGTGGCCAAGGGCGTTTGGGCCTGGCAGCGCCGGCGATGGTCAGGACGTCAGTCACCGAGCGCGTTCCACTGCTCGCAAAGTGCCTGCTCGCACACGTCCAAAAAACATGTGTTCGTCTCGTTGTAATGGATCGTAGATCCCCCGCGCGGGATCCAGGCGAGTTGCGAGTAGTTACTTTGCGAGTAGTGGAGCGCGCTTGCCTAGTCAGGGGCCTGGGCCCGTGTGGACTGGGCGGGGTCGGAAGCGCCAGCGGGACGGCGCCGCCGAAGAAGCTCCAAAGGTCAGGAAATGGGGAGGGGGAGCATATTCCAGGGTGTTGTGAGAGAAGTCCGAGGGTGTTCATGGGGCTTCGAAGGAGAGGAGGAGGCGGAGTTGGAGAAAGAGGGGGAGGAGGAGGAGGGAGGAGGAGGAAGACCGAAGAGGAGGAGGGAGGGAGGGAGGGAGGGAGGGAGGGAGGGAGGGAGGGAGGGAGGGACGGGAGGAGGGAGGGAGGAGGAGGAGGGAGGGGGGAGGAGGATGAGGAGGAGGAGGAGGAGGAGGGGGAGGAGGAGGAGGAGGAGGAGGAGGAGGAGGGGGAGGAGGGGGAGGAGGGGAAGGAGGAGGAGGAGGAGGAGCCCCTGAGGTCCCAGGCTGCCCCTCGTCTGCGTCTTTCACATGCTCTAGGGTACACCCCCACGAGACGGTCGGCCAACGGTGGGTCCTGATCAGAAGTGTAGAGCTTGCCATTGCTTCATTTTGGGACCCCCTGGCCGCCCAGACATGGAACGTCTTGAAACATCAGAACGCGTGCGATTCACACTGCTCTGTGTCTGGACGCCATGTTTGGGCCCCCCGACCGCCAACCAAATCCTCAGGATGAAAAGCCTGTTCCTTGGAATGGGACAGGATTTCCAGGGACCCCGTATCAAAACAACACATGTCTTGGCGAATTGCCCAACCATGTGTGTAAGTACCGGCAGGGCAGGTGCAACGAAGGCGAGGTGCCGAAAAGCGTGGTGGAGTGTGCCGACATGTGCGGGGCGACGCCATGGGGGCCCTTGCCCGTGGGGGCTTCGTGGCGGCCCCCTGCGGGGTCACCACGCACGCCAGGGGCGTCTCCAAAGGGCCCGGGTGACGCCACGCGGGCGCTGCCTCCGGGGCGCCTTTGCTGCGGCTCCCTGCGGGGTCACCGCGCGCGCCAGGGGTGTGTCGAAATGGGCGGGAGGACGCCACGCGGGCTCCCCGTGGGGTCACGAAACGTGTGAGGGGTGCGCAGAGGTGGGCGGGGTGACGCCGTGTGGGCGCTGCCCCTGGGACCCTCGGGAGGGGTCACGAAGCGTGTGAGGGGGTGCCCCAACATGGGCGGAGTGACCCCATGCAAGCGCTGCAACTTAGGGCCGTCGGTGCAGCCTCCTGTGGGGTCTCGAAATTTGTGAGGAGTGCGCCGACATGATGATGATGCTGATGATGATAATGATGATGATGATGATGATGATGATGATGATGATGATGATGATGATGATGACGACGACGACGATGATGATGATGATGGTGATGGTGATGGTGATGATGACGACGACGATGATGATGATGATGGTGATGGTGATGGTGATGGTGATGGTGATGGTGATGGTGGTGATGGTGATGATGCTGATGTTGCGGATGGTGATGATGATGATGATGATGCTGATGATGCTGCTGCTGATGATGGTGGTAATGGTGATGATGATGGTGATGGTGATGGTGATGGTGATGGTGATGGTGATGTTGCTGTTGCTGATGATGATGCTGATGCTGATGCTGATGGTGATATTGATGATGATTAGGATGCTGATGTTGATGATGCTGATGATGCTGCTGATGCTCATGATGCTGCTGATGATGATGATGGTGATATTTATGATGATGAGTAGGAGGAGGAGGAGGAGGAGGAGGAGGAGGAGGAGAAGGAAGAGGACATGCAGGAGATGGCCTAAGCAAGGAGAGGAGCAAAGGACGAAGTGGAGAAGGAAGATGAGGTGCAGCGCAGCGCTGCGGATTAAACACGAGGACCCAGCACCACAGGGATTGCGAATCACATTTATTTCGTCGGAGGGCTGGAAATGGTCCCACGCGCGGACTTGAACATTTGTGTCAGCGTCGGCTGGCCACAGGAACTCTTTCACACATGAGCTCACACGCTGTGGGCTCCAAGGGGCTGGCGAATGTTGTATTGAGTGTGTCGCCTTGGTAATCGTCCTCATTGTTTCACCAGGTGCCGTGGCCTTGCGAATTGCCGTGGCGTTGTCTCCTCCTTCAGGGCGGCCAGGCGTAACATTGGCTTCCGTGGGCACGATGGTTGATGCTACTCGGCCAGAGGGGCGTTATGGAAGGGGTGCACATCGATGTAGCCTTGTCCATCCCTTTCCCCAAAATACTAAAACAGGAGATACAGGTCGGGCTTCCTCTCTCCTTGCACGTTTTTCTCGAATCGGCGTTTGCACAGAAGGGGAGTGAGCGCAGCAGAATGTTGAAAAGACTTGATGGCATTGGGCCGCCGACTTCAGTGGGCGGCCAGGTTCCTGGGTTCCCGGGTCTGGACTACCATGTTCTGGCGGTTGCCAGGTCTTGGCCTTCGGGAGATCAGATAGAGTAGATGATAGTGGAGGGTATGTTAGTTGATGGCATGGAGTAGAGACGCGCGAGACGAGGGCAGAGAGTACAAGCTGGTGTGTGTAGTTTCAAAGTGCAGGAGGTTGCGCAGCGGAGAGTAAGGACACCACGTTCGTCACCCTTGCTCCTACCCACCGCTAGCGCGCTGCCCTCGAATGTGTCGTACGAGCAACTGGCTTATGCTTTTTCGTTGGTGTGGTCGTTTTGTCGTCGTCGCGACGCTCTTCGAAGCCTGGTGGCAGCAGGGGTGGTGGTGGACGACCAGCCAGGGATCTGGAGACATGGAGGAGGAGGAGGAGGAGGAGGAGGACGAGGAGGACGAGGAGGAGGGAGGAATTATCTAGAAGGAGAAGAAATGGAGAAGGAGGGGGAGGAGGAGGAGGCGGAGGAGGGAGAGGAGGAGGAAGAGGAGGACGAGAAGGTGGAAGGTGGTTGTCACAAGTCGAACTCACCCATCCTCTCGAGCATAGCCGAGCGGCACACAGAAAGCCGCGGGCTACACTGCTGAAAATGGCGTCGAGACACCAATTGAAAACGCTATCCACTCATTCACAGGTTGCGGCTGCTGCAGGCTCTTGCAGCAATGCGTTTTTTCGGGCAGTTTTGCGTGCAAAGGTGTTCTCCACGCGCGTGCTTCACATCAAGAGGTAAGAGTCCTACGCCTTGCGGCAACTCAAAGTATGATCGTGGGTCGGCTTCTGATGTTTTGCGGCAAGGCGTCGAATCGAATGAGGCAGTGGATGTTCCTCCGTCTAGGGCTTCCTGGAGTCATGGCTCAGCAGCTGCACCTCGCTGGCATACCTGCGTTCCCTACCGGCTGCGACACAGGAGCCCGTCCCGCAGTCCCTTGGCATCGCTCGGACGTGTGCATTTTTTCCTCGGCGACGGCCATCAAGGATCATCCTGGACCATCGAGAAAAAAAACACGCACGAAACCGACAAATGCACGGGAAATGGACGTCCGAGCGACGGCAAGGTCCTGCGGATCGGCGGAAGCGGAGGCGCAACACGAGGAGGCGTACGCGGACCTGCCCCCAGGGGGGCACACTTGCGGCCGCCGACGCCGCGTCGGCGGCTCCTCCCGGTGGCCACGTGCGAACCCTACCCCCACTTCTCAAGGGCAGAAAAAAACGCCCCTACCCTTTGTTACGAGGCGCTGTGCTCTGAAACTCCTGTGGGCTGACAGGATAAACCCTGCGTGATGTGCCGCGTCCTGGCGGCTCTAGGCTTTGGGGGGTCCCAGGAGGTTTACAGACCACGCACTTGTAACCCAGGGCAGGGTCGTTTTTTCATCCCTCAAACTTCGTTAGAATTCGTGGGGGATCGGGGTAGGGCTCACGCGTGGCAACGAATTGCAGCTTCGTAAGCACTCCGCCCGGAGCCCTCGACCCAATTGTTCTGCAGCATTCTTCGAGCCGGATCGATCTGCGAGGGCCCCCGGGCCCGAGGAGAGGCGAAGACGCCCGGGTCGACAAACATGGCAATGCCAGGATCTCAGGGGAAATCGTGGGGGACCGGGGCAGCACTCACACGTGGCCACATGTGGCCACCTCTCCTCGCCCCAGCGCGCAGGTCAGGGGCCCCGCAACCCGACCCGGCGGCGCCACGCCGCGTGTCCGCGCCTCCTCGCCCCTCTGCGCAGGTCGGGCGGGGCCAGGACGAGGAGAAATCCGCTCCAGAGCGTTCTGGAACGCTCCCAGAGCGTTCCTCCTCCTCCTCCTCCTCCTCCTCCTCCTCCTCCTCCTCCTCCTCCTCTTCCTCCTCACTCTCCTCCTCCTCCTCCTCCTTCTCACTCCTCCTCCTCCTCTTCCTCCTACTTCCTCCTACTCCTCCTCACTCCTCCTCCTCCTCCTCCTACTTCCTCCTCCTCCTCCTCCTCCTCCTCCTCCTCCTCCTTACTTCTCACTCCTCACTCCTCACTCCTCACTCCTCACTCCTCACTCCGCCTCGCTCCTCACTCCTCCCACCCTCCCCCCTTGAACGCTCTGACGAGGCCGCGGCGCCCGAGACCTGCTCCAGCGCCGCCGGACCTCAGGGATGCTCGATGTTCATCCCCACCCGAACCGATCCTGCGGCGCACCCTCCATACCGTTCGGGTGGCCCCGGCTCCGCCTCAGCAGGCCCTCGGGCCCCGCCCCGACCTGGGCGGCGCCACGCGCCCAGCCGCGGCGCCTCCCCCGGCGACGGGCGATGCGGGGCGCCGGGCGCGGGGTCGCCCGGGCACTCTGCAGGCGGCGCGGGCGCGCCGTGCGGCAGCGATGCCGCGCGGGGGTCATGGGCTAGAGTCGGACCGAGCTCCTTCGGGCATGTCCCTCTACACGAGGAATATTCATCAATAGCCAAAACAAACTCAGCGGACGATTGTTCGTTGAACTACTTTTGAACATGTTTGACAATGTTAGGGTTGTTCCTCCAAGGTCCGCCTGTAGCAGGGCATGCCCGACCTGAACGAGGGCGGATCGGGGAGGTTACCCGAACCACCCGCCCTGGAGCGTCATCCGTACATCCTACATGCGACTTGCCGGGGCAGATCGTGTGTGATCCCCCCGGGACTCCGGACTTTAACATATAACCCCCTGGGGTGTTGTTCTCGGGGGCATGAGGTTACTGTGCTTCGGGTTCGTTGGATATTCTGGGGCATCCTGGGGGAGGTCGCCCTCGAATGGTCTCAGGGTTTGGGGTGATTTGGCCGGCGCAGGGTCTCATGTTCTTGGAGGATGCTCGTCTGGCTTAGGTTTACCCTCTACAGGACGGCTATTCAATAATAGTCTAACAAACAGTCTAGTGACGATTATTCGTGATCTTATTACCGTGCAAGCTTTTTGGTTGAGGCTAGTTAAAAAAACTCATTCGAAGTTCACCTGTAGAAGCACACGACCGACCTAAACCTAGGTTCAACTGTGCTCACAGGAGGCTTGCGCCACGCCGCCGACCTCAGAGAGGGGAGGCGCGTGGCTTCCGATCTCGTGCGTTCTGCTTTTGTTGCTGCTTCCCGTCGGCGCTGCCTGCGCGCAGACGTTGCTGCCGCGTCCCCCTTCCCCTCCTCCACAATTCCTCAATATGAAAAAACTCTCCCTCTTCCCCTGATGGCGTCCGGGTGATGGCCGCGCACCCTCCGCGTACTGTTTTTTACACACAGGATGCCCAGGAAATCCCGGGAAACGACCCTCGCTGAGGCGCCGGCGTCATTTGTTCCCAAAATGCTGCTCTCGTTGAGGCGCCGGCCTCATTTCTGCTCCCGAATCGTTCCGAATCGTGCTCCCGCTGAAGCGTGGGCCTCATTTTCGGATCGGTGTTTGGCCTCCGTCGTTCAGGATGGCGTTCTCGCCCCAGCGCGGGCCTTTTTCTCGCGCGCCCATCCGCCCGCCACCACCGCGCCGCACCGCCACCACCACCACCACCACCACCACCACCACCACCACCACCACCACCACCACACCACCACCACCCACCACCACCACCAGCACCACCACACCACCACCACCAGCACCAGTACCACCACCACCACCACCACCACCACCACCACCCACCATCACCACCCACCACACACCACCACCACCACACACCACCACCACCACCACGACAACCACGCACACACGCACGCACGCACGCACGTGCACCACCACCCACTACGCACGCGCGCGCGGAGCCACAGGTCCGCTACGACACGCGTCCGCGGATAGAGAAAATCAGCGCCATGGTAAGGGATGGGAGGGAGGGGTAGGACGTCAGATATGACGCGAGCGCACCTAGCTTGTCCCCCTCCCCTCTCCCTCCTCCCCTCCTCCCCCTCCTTCTCCTCCTCTCCTCCGCCTCCTCCTTCTCCTCCTCCTCCTCCTCCCTCCTCCTCCCTCCTCCTCCTCCTCCTCCCCCTCCACAATTACTCAATATGAATATACTCTCCCTCTTCCCCTGATGGCGTCCGGGTGATGGCCGCGCACCCTCCGCGTACTGTTTTTTTACACAGGATGCCCGGGAAATCCCGGGAAACGACTCTCGCTGAGGCGCCGGCGTCATTTTTTCCCAAAATGTTGCTCTCGTTGAGGCGCCGGCCTCATTTCTGCTCCCGAATCGTTCCGAATCGTGCTCCCGCTGCAGCGTGGGCCTCATTTTCGGATCGGTGTTTGGCCTCCGTCGTTCAGGATGGCGTTCTCGCCCCAGCGCGGGCCTTTTTCTCGCGCGCCCATCCGCCCGCCACCACCGCGCCGCACCGCCACCACCACCACCACCACCACCACCACCACCACACCACCACAACCACCACCAGCACCAGCACCAGTACCAACACCACCACCACCAGCACCACCACCACCACCACCACCACCACCACCACCAGCACCACCACCACCACCACCACCACCACCACCACCACCACCACCACCACCACCACCACCACCACAACCACGCACACACGCACGCACGCACGCACGTGCACCACCACCCACTACGCACGCGCGCGCGGAGCCACAGGTCCGCTACGACACGCGTCCGCGGATAGAGAAAATCAGCGCCATGGTAAGGGATGGGAGGGAGGGGTAGGACGTCAGATATGACGCGAGCGCGCCTAGCTTGTCCTCCCCCCCCTCCTCCCCCCCCTTCTCCCCCCCCTTTTCCTCCTCCTCCTCCTCCTCCTCCTCCTCCTCCTCCTCCCCCTCCTCCGCCTCCTCCTCCTCCCCCTCCTTCTCCATTTCTCCTCCTTCTAGATAACTCCTCCCTGTCGCACCCCGAGGCTAATTTTTATGGCGGGCCGGGCGGCTCGCCTGAGGCTTCGTCACCATTTATGATTCTGAAGCTTTCAGATTGGCAAGCGTTTCACAGATGGAGGGCGGGAAGTTTTCAAACTGTAGCTCTCGCCTTAGCGCTGCGCACATTCGTTTTCAAAAGTTGCAAGGGTTTCACGAATTAAGGGCGGGTGGTTTTCAAAATGTGGTTATCGCGTCAGCGCCGCGCACACTCGTCTTAAACATATGCAAGAGTTTCACGGATTGAGGGCGGGTGGTTTCAAAATGTGGTTCTCGCCTTAGCGCCGCGCACATTCGTTTTGAACATTTGCAAGAGCTTCACGGATTGAGGGCGGTTCCTTTTCAAAATGTGGACCTCACCTCAGCGCCGCGCACATTCGTCTTAAACATGTGCAAGAGTTTCACGGATCGAGGGCGGGTGGTTTTAAAATGTGGTTTTCGCTTTAGCGCCGCACACATTTTCGATGCACTTTCACTGGAGAAAACCGAATCAGTGGATGATTGGAAAATTGATAGTGTGGATCTTGAGATCGATTGTGATATCGATAATGAGATCGATAGTGTAATCGATAGTGAGGACCATTGTAAGGTCGATCGTGAGACCGAGAGTGAAATCAATTCAATGAGATCGATCGTGAGATCGATCGCGAGATCGTTCATGCGATCTCTAATGAGATCGCTTGTGAGATTGATAGTGAGATCGATGGTGAGATCGATGGTGAGAGCGATCGAGAAGTCGGTAATGAGATCGATGGTGAGACCGATCGATAAGAAGATCGACAAGGAACCCGGGAACCTCGCCGCCCTCCGAAATCGGCCCGGAACCCGGGAACCCGGAACCGGGAACCCGAAAACCCGGGAACCCAGCGTGCGACCAAAATCGGCGGGGCATTTTCGCCAAATCTTTCAACATCCGCGAGGACCCCTTCAGTGCAAGCACTGATTGGGGAAAACTGCAAGAGTGTCACGGATTCCCATGATCGACGTGCTTTGGGAGGACTCACGACTTGGAGGGCGCAACAGTTAGGATGATTTGCGGAGTTGAGGTCCCAGGGGATGGCTTTCTGGCACGATTCAGGATCGTCAAGACGCAACAGTCAGGTTCATCCGTGGTGTTGGAATACCGAGAATAATGTTCTGGCATGCTTCAGGGTCTTCAAACGATTGTTTTCCAGCGAGGCAGGTCCTTCTGTGGAGACGAACCGTTGTAGAGGCCTGCGAAGAGGGAGCTTGGGGGGAGGGTTTATTCCAACATCGTTGGTGACTCTTGGGTGTGCACTGGTCCTCCTCCTCCCCCTCCTCCCCTCCTCCTCCTCCTCCTCCGTAGCCATTTTGGCTCAAGGCTATGAACCGTCCCGACGACCGCGAGTCTTTCGGGGCGTCCTCAGAGCGCGAGGGAGGTTCCGCTTTGAGGCCACGTGCAATCCCTGCTCTCCTGTCCCTGGCACTCTTTCTCGGCCTTCACTGCGGGAGTTGGGCCCCCGCCTACTCTTTCCCTTTCTCGTCCAAGCTACCGCCGATGGCTGATGGCGTCGCCGCTGCTGAGCTATCCGCCTCCCAGGTTGAGCTGTTGGAGAGTGCGCCGACCTTCCCGTCCCAGGAGTGCAAGGCGGGCAAGGGCAAGGGCTCCGCCCCCGCCCGCACGGCCAGCTGCGCTGCTCACAAGCGTCGCGCTCTTCCTCCTCATGGTGCTCACCTTGCTGCAGCCGTGGACGACGACATGCCTCCGCGCCTCGACGACGACGATGACGCCTCGGAGGACGACATCAAGCAGGGCTGCGCCGACATGCTGGGCAGAATGCGTGAAGAACTCGCCATCGACATCAGTAAGTCCCTCACTGACACCATCAAGCAGAATATTGAAGTTCAGAATAGGCCGGCCCTCGAGCTGCTGGACCAGCTTCGCGCCCAACTGGCCCATCCTCCCGCCGACCTCGACCAGAAGATCCTCTCGATTGTCCGTCCTCAGCTCGACACCACCACCCGCCGCCTCCAGTCACAGCTCGATGCCCAGCAGGCCCAGATCAATGAGACTGACGGACGCGTGGCCAAAGTCGAATCTCAGATGCAGGACGTCCTCGCCCAGATGGAGACGCTCAAGAAGGAGCTCCACTTGGCCGAACAGCGCCCTCGCGCGCCCCTCACTCAGCCGAAGGGTTTCGACAGGGAGGTGGATGCATCGCTGGTGGTCGCCATGGCCCAGCGCCCTACTACCACTGCCTGTGCTGAGGCTGAACTTCGCCCATGGATCTCCTCTCTCGGCCTTGCCGACGACCTCTATGACGTGGTCCCCGTCGGCGCCGTGCCGACCAAGAAGTTTCACATCCGCTTCGAGGGCCTCGTCGCCGTCGCGTCCAGGATGGCGGCCAAGGTCCTTGGCCCCCTGCGCTCCGAGGGCACCTGGGAGGTGTTCACTGTTGATGTCTCTGGCAGCCCGCGCTGCTGCATCCACCTGGGCCCCGACAAGTCGCCACGCCAGATCCGCTGCG